ATTGCCCACCTGCGCTTTGGATGTTTCGAGATGCCTTTGGCTTATACTGAGTTTCTGCACCTCTCTTGTCTCATCCAACTCAAAAAGTGGTGCAATACTGACTGGGATTAAGAAAGACCACACCACATCTGATGGCAAAGGATAAAAGGATGGAAAAAGCGGCTGAATGAGCTGGCGAGAAAAAACTTACTTTCATAAACTTACGGAAAAACTTGCGAAAAAAACATTCATGTGTCATTGTATGTACAAGAAAAAAATGACCGGAACGATATCACTTTGTCAACATCAACTATGAACTGATACGACTGAAGAAACTGACGATTGTTTTGGGGGTAGTTTTGCCATCCGATTCGAGTTACCTCTTTCTCCTTTCGAGCGGTCCTCCGGTATACCGCAGTGTTACAGCACCCTTACCAGCACGAATAAAAATTAAGAATTTCTACCATTACCATCTTACAGTGCAACTTCCATACCATCGAAGTGATATTAAAAATTTGTTGAGTTGTTGCTGGTTGTTGTTTCTCTCAGTAACCGAATTAATAAATTGAGCAATAATTTGATGCTTAGCTCCGATTCTTGGCCAATAGTTTGTGACATCTGTGGTGCCCCATCTCATCGATTTAATGTTCTTCAGTGTTATTTTAGATAGCACTGAAACGATCCGATATGTTATTTGCATTTTTGACAAGCGAACAAGAGCTGAAGGACTCGACGCAAATCTCGGATCTTTATCCATGGAATGTAAGTCAGCTGGAAATACAGTAGCATTGATATAGAGCGACCCAAACTCCCTAACTGCCTTTTATTTTTGCAGCACATCGGCTTTTGCACCTTTCGGTTGGGGTTTTTTTTTTTTGGTCGTGGTTTCCAGTCTAAGCCTACTATTAGAAAAAATGAGATTTGAATGTATACTTGCTTATGCGCTGCAGTGGCTGACATTCCTTGTGGTCCGTACAGGCTGATAACAAGTCTAGTAAAAGGTAAAAGTAATCAGCTATACACAGATAGTGCCAGTCACTCGTCCCGTGATCCTGTGGCATTGCTGGCCGTAGTTTGAGTGATGAGCGTGCGAAAGAACT